CCCCCTCCCCTCCCCCATCTCCCTTCCCCTCATCAATCGTACACTCGGCGACCGAGAGGTGCGAATGTGCCGACACTTTACCCGCGCACTATTGTGCGGCGTTGGAGCAACACGGCACGCTTCGCGGTCAGGGTTGTAAAAATGAAGAGTGCAAAAACGCCCGGTGAAATTCTTTGCGGGCCGGTCGTAGTAGGAGGTGCGGCCACCGCGGGCATCGCAATTATGAGGGATGGAATGGCGAATGCAAAATAATTGCGGATGGTTGGGAGGGTCGCCGGAGGGAGAGGGGGGGGCAGGAGGAGGGACGACCCACTGATAAACCGCTCTGGCTAACGCGTCCGTGTCTCGTGTGTTGCAGGTGCGCCTGGAGGAGGCCGACGCCGAGGCGTCGAGCGGGCCCATGGCGGCGGAGAGCGCCCCGGAGGCGGCCGTGGTGGCGGCGCCGACCCAGACGCAGCAGCTCGAGCCCAACGCCAACAAGCTGGAGTCGCCGTCCGGCAGCGACCAGGAGGCCTCGGAGACCGCGCCCAAGCACGGCGGGTACGCGCCGCCGGAGAGGCCGCTGGGCCCCGGCCCGCTCGGCCCGCCCCCGCGCGGACACCCGCTGCGCGGCCCGCCGCCCCACAAGCCCTTCAAGAACACGTACCACGGGCCGCCGCCCCCGCTCGGGCCGCAGCTGTCACTGGGCGGCCCCCCGCCGTCCCAGGCTCAGCCCGAGGCGATGGACAAGCTGTACGGCCCACCCGCCCTGCCCAGCGGCCTGTCCGGCGGCCTGCCCAGCGGTGACCCCTGGCCCGTGTCCACGCCAGACATGCCCAAGATCGTGTCTCTCGACGTCAAGTGCGAGAAGAACGCTATGAAGGTTTTCCTGAGCTTCGACAAGCCCTTCTACGGCATCGTGTTCAGCAAGGGCCACTACAGCAACGTCAACTGCGTGCACCTGCCCGCCGGCCTGGGCCGCACCTCCGCCAACTTCGAGATCAGTATCCACGCCTGCGGCACGGCCGGCAACACGGAGAACGGCCTGTACGGCTACGGCGCCGACTCTGGCTCGGGCACGTACTTCGAGAACATCATCGTCGTGCAGTACGACCCGCAGGTGCAGGAGGTGTGGGACCAGGCGCGCAAGCTCCGCTGCACCTGGCACGACCAGTACGAGAAGTCCGTCACTTTCCGACCTTTCCCCGTCGACATGCTAGATGTGGTGCGCGCCGACTTTGCGGGCGACAATGTAGGCTGCTGGATGCAGATCCAGGTCGGCAAAGGCCCCTGGGCGTCCGAAGTGTCGGGCCTCGTCAAGATCGGGCAGACTATGACGATGGTGCTGGCCATCAAGGACGACGACTCCAAGTTCGACATGCTGGTGCGCAACTGCATGGCCCACGACGGAAAGCGCGCCCCCATCCAGCTGGTGGACCAGAAGGGCTGCGTCACCCGGCCCAAGCTCATGTCGCGCTTCACCAAGATCAAGAACTTCGGCGCGTCCGCATCCGTCTTGTCATACGCCCACTTCCAGGCTTTCAAATTCCCCGACTCGATGGAGGTCCACTTCCAGTGCACCATCCAGATCTGCCGCTACCAGTGCCCCGACCAGTGCTCGGACGGCAGCCTGCCCGCGCCTCCCGGCCACGGCGGCCCCCAGGCCCACGTCGAGTACGGCCCCCCGCAGCACGGCCAGCACGCCCCGCTCGAGGCCTACCTGCAGGCGCGCAGCAGCAGCCCCCGCGACGAGCGCAAGGTCCGCGTCGGCCTGGCGGGGCTGGCCGGTCTGTCTGGACGACACCGTCGTGAGACCGGCGCTCCGCAGCGGCCCGCCGAGGTGGGCGTCAACAGGATCATCCGCGTCGTGTCGACGGGCGACCTCACCTTCTCGCTGGACGAGGCCAGCAACTCGTCCGCGCTCTCCGCCGCACCCCAGGGCCCCACCATGGTCCTGGGCGCCAGGGACGACGCCGGCCTCATCTGCATGACGACGCCCGGCTTCGCGGCCACGCTGGTCGTGCTGCTCGCCATCCTCGTCGTGTCCTGCCTCCTGTCCGCCTTCCTGTGCGTGCGTCTGCGCCCCTTCGCGCACCGCGGCGCCGACAAGCAGACCCCCACCTTCGCTCACCATCCCGTCGTACCCGTCCTGGCCGCCCCCGTCCACGTGCACACCAAGGCCAAGAGCAAGAGTTGTTTCTACTCGTAGAACTAGAATATCCTATTTAGGTTCCCCCCGCCAACGTCGAGAGCGTGCTGGTGCACCGGCCCAGCGTGCCCACACAAGTTCCGCGAGTGAGGAGGACGCCGACGTCGAAGAGCACGGCGGGGGGACATGTCAGGGCGGGGAGGGGCTGGTACCCCCCAACCCTCCGTGAAAGAAGAAATTGACCTGCTCTTGACTTGTTCTACTTCTGTGAAGTATTTCAACATACGTCAGCCAATCAGTAAATGCTCAAGGGTCCAAAGGGGTTTGTCGTTTTGGATCCTACTACTTTTCCTCTGTTAACTGATAGTGTTTATCGTGTCTGTAAATAGCGACTGTAAAGCGCGGCGTGGAAAGCTAGTCAAAACATCTGTGTGTCTCGAGGAACGTGGGGTAGTAGAAGGGAGTGCAGGGGTTGGAGATGGAGAGGAGGGGAATAGGGGTAGGGAAGGAGAGGGGAGAGATGCAGCCGAAGCACAGCCCGAAGGTATCGGTGTCACCGGCGGTCCGCCGGGGCAGGGAGGGCGGCAGCACCCGCGGCAGACATGTCAGGTGGGCCAAAAGAATGTAAAGCAGGACCATCTCGGATGCATACTTTCTCCTCGGGGAGCGAGCGTGGTGAGGGGGGGGGGGCTGATCGCATGTGCCGCGGGCTACCTTCGGCGCGTTAGCCCCCGGCAGTTCGCATCGGGTTCAGGGTGGGAGGGGAGACCCAAATTACTCGGAGAATATTTCGAGCGAATGCCACTCACCGCCAACGCTGCTACAGTCAAAAGTCTCAGGGTTTAGTTTTTCTTTCTTGTTTTTCCTCTACTCTCCCACAGAGTTGGGTATGTTGCAGCGCGCGAGTGAGTGAACGGGAGAGCGCGAGCAGGAGGGAAGATAGTCGTCCTTCTCCTCTTTTGACACATTTATGCGTCGATCCGCTCCGCTTTCGGACTGAGCCACCTGTCTTGCTAACGGAAGAATGTCTAGGCTCCAGTTTGCCCGGCCTGGCGTGGCCTGGCGCGTCGGGCACACGGCAGGTCGACGGGTTCTGGTTCCGGCGTGGTGTGCCCTGGATCGGCAAAGCGGCAAAAGCCAGGAACAGAAACCGGTCGGGCGGTGGTCGGGGCGTGGCGGGCCGCGGTGCGGTGCGGCGGGGCCAAGTGAACAGTAGATAGGATAGAGGACCATGTGCCGCCCGCGGGCGCCGTAGGCCCTCCACTGCTAGCCGGGCGGCCGGGCCACCGGGAGATATGAAATGGAATGGGTGTGGAGCCGGGGGCGGGCCGCGGGCCGCGGGGCGGGCCCCACCCTGCCGTAGCCGAACAGGGCCGCGATCCAATCGAGACACGTTCCCACTCACGCACAAATGTTTTGTAGCGACGCGCCGGGCGGACGACGAGGGTTCCCAGGGTGCTGCCCAGCCCAAACCTGACTGCTCTGGTCGGCCGGGCTCCAGCGGCGGCGGGAGCAGGATGCAGGAAGCGGCCAACAAACTATACATTCTGCGTGTCAAGCGGACGGGGCGTGTTGCCGCCGACGAAAAAGCAGGGCAGCGCGCAGCGCGCTCCCGCTCGATGAAAAAGTCGCCGCAGAGTGAAAGCCGTCAACGACTCGTGATTGAAATTTGTAGTGGCAGCAAAGCGAGAGAAAATTTCGATGATGACTGTGGGCTTTTCGAGTTCTTTTCTGGTTTTTGGTTTATATATCAATGATCCGGTGGAATAACCCGAAAGACAAGAAATTGGGCCGGGCAGCCAACCTTAGCAACCCCGCGTACCGAATAAATTTTTAAGTAAATAGTGTGAAGCGCAGTGCACTATCTTCACCTTACCTAATGTGATTGATAAGTGTGGATGTGTGTGAGTGAAAGGTGTGAGATGTGTTGTGAGAAAATGGTCCTGTGCCAATGCACTTTGTGAGAATGTGTGAATGTCCGTATAAATTATTTAT